TTTCAAATGTAATTTATGTGTGTGTGTGTGTGTGCGTGTGTGTGTGCGTGTGCGTGTGCGTGTGTGTGTGCATGTGTGCGTGTGTGTGGATGTGTGTGAGTGCATGTGCGTGTGCGAGTGTGTATGCGTGCCTGTACATCTGTGTCCATTACTGTATCTCTGTGTCTGTGGGTGTCTATGTGAGCATGTTTGAGTATACCTGATTTCTTTTATTATATTTTGTTATTATTTTCTCTCCTTCACAGTGATATCCAAAATGTATATAAATATATATATATATATTTTTTCTTAACAGGCGTAAAAGATAGCGACGTCCTGGAAAAAATTGGTGTAAAAAGCCATGACAAGATCTACGTAAAGGATCTCGGCCCACAGATCGGCTGGACAACTGTATTTTTAGCTGAATATGCAGGTCCTCTGGCCATCTACCTGTGGCTTTACCAGCGACCTTGGCTCTTCTACGGTGACAAGGCAGTTTTGGAACCAGTGTCCATGTGCACACAGTAAGAATTTTTCTTCTTCTTCTTTGTCGTCTTCTTTTTCTTAATTTTTCTTCTTCTCTCTTTTTTTTTGACAAAGAAAATGCTATTCATGCCTTTTTTATTTTCTTTTTAAAGCTTAGAGTAAAAAAAATAGATAAAAAAAAAGAAAAGTTAAAAATAGTTGATAGTTTATTATTATTATTGTTGTTGTTGTTGTTGTTTTATTGTTATTGTATTATTGATATTGTTAATAAAATTATTGTTATTATCATCATTAGTAGTAGTGGTAGTAGTAGTAGTAGTAGCAGTAGTAGTAGTAGTAGTAGTAGTAGTAGTAGTAGTAGTAGTAGTAGTTTTAGTTGTAGTAGTTTAGGGTTAGTTGTAGTACTATTGTTATTACAATAATTACTACCGTTATAGCACATTACTAACTACTGCCAAAGCCACACCCATTGGCGTCTCAAAGCCTTTGCCACATTATTTTTTTCCAATTATTGTTATATCTACTGCAGTTATTATACTCCAGAGAACTGCAGCAAGCTCATAATTCCATAATTTATTAAAGAAATAAAAATGTAGATAAAAAATTGTGAAGAGATAAAAGTGGGCATACATGTCCATTTTCAGATTAGATACCCAGTAGATGCTAGGAGTACATCAATACAAGCTCAGTTCACCATGGTTTTGTTTTATTATTATTTCTCTTGTGCATATATGGTTCCACAAGAACTTGGTCAATAAAGAGTCAATAACTAGGTATACAATGAATCATCTCTTTAGCCCATTCCATGAATGGTGTAAAGATAATGATAGTAAATGTAAATGATGATGATGAGGATTGATGGTGGTGATAGTGATGATGATGATGTTAATGATGATTATAGTAATGAAAATGATAATGATAATAATAATGATTATAATGATAATAAGAATAATGAGGTTGGTAATGGTGATGACGATGAGGGTGATGATGATAATAGTGTGCTTATGAATAATGAGAATATGAAGTGATGATCACATCAGTTCAGTTTTGTTTGTTTTATTTATTTTGTTTACCATAGATGGCTTCACAAGCTTTTATTTACTAAAGAGTAAATAACTAGGTTTTCCAGACCTTACCTGTTTCAGCTTACATATTTCTTGAATTTTCAATTAAAGCTTTGTAATTGTAGTTGTTATTGCAACTAACATTGAATTCATAATTTTTGTAATTTTATAATAATTTTTTTTTTTTATTATAATGATACTAACCCACTGAATTCAATTGATGTGACAGTTGTGTCATGAAAAACTTCATCTGAGGGCAGTGTGATGAGCATATGCCAGTGAGAAAATTTGGCTAAGGGCTGGGATGACAGGAATGTACAGTCATGTAAAATTTGGGTGGACCATACCATCTGTGAGCTGTGGCTGGAAGAGGACTGGCTTCAGGGAGGACACTAATTCCATGATCTGGTTCCTTTTCCCTCCCGTTGTTATCAGTGTTACAGAAAAGGACAAATATAGACCTTGGAAAAGGGCAAAACCACAAAATACGCTTATACAGACAGAGATCATAACACACTGCCTACAAGCCACACACCTGGTAGAGTTACTGGTCAAGTAAACCCAATGCCTGGATTTTGTGTGGGTCGCAAGGCATTCAGATTGGATGGGTTAATAATGACCGCATATTCAAAGTAAATTTTTTTGGCCTGAAAATTCTGAGAATGAAGGAAATAGCTTTGTAATTGACTGAGAACTTCTTGAACCATGTATGTGTAAAAACGATAAGACAATCAAAGTGGCCAGTGCTCAATGGCTTCAACAGATTAATGGGGAAAATGTGGAATTCGGTGAATTTGAATATTTTTGATATCATCATAGATAGGAATTTAGTTTGGAAAAAATATTAATAAATTTTAGAAGTAGATAGTAGCATTAAAGTTTTGAGACCTGTAAGTTCCAATATTTTTATTTTAGCATCGCTGCTGGGTGCTGGTCCTTCCACTACGCAAAACGAATTTTGGAGACCTTGTTTATTCATCGGTTCTCCCATGGCACCATGCCGGTTTTCAACCTCTTCAAGAACTGTGGATACTACTGGGGTTTCACAGCTTATGTGGCCTACCATGTCAATCATCCCCTCTTCACAACCCCAAGCGACCTGCAGGTGTACTCCTCCCTGGCTGTTTTTGTTGTAAGTATGAGTTTGTGGGTATGCTTGGGCATTTTACAGCAGCTTGTAATAGTGAGTAAATACAAAGTGTCCTACCATAGATCTTTTAGGCTAAGTGTGTGGACACACCTTCATCACAGAACTTCAGAACAAAAGAACTAGTTAGCAATACTTTTGGTGGGTTTGATAGCCACTCTCATTTAGATGAATAATCTTTTCAATAATTTCTGGAGTTCAAGGCTTCTTCAAGTGCATAATGAGGTTAGCAAGCAAGGAAGTCTTCCCATTGATCACAGAGAAATAACTAATCAGGGCATGACAGGTATTCTTATTAGATATTTGGTCCTCTAATTTCCTGAACTATTTTTTAAGCTGTGTGAGTTGGGCAACTTCAGCATCCACGTGGCCCTGAGGAACCTTCGACCCCCAGGCACTAAGGAGAGGAAAATTCCCTACCCTGACAGCAACCCCCTCACGCTGCTCTTCAATGCTGTCTCTTGCCCCAATTACACCTATGAAGTCGGGACATGGTTGGCATTCACAATCATGACTCAGTGTCTGCCAGGTAAATAAATCTCTTCTGAAGGTTAAGAGAATAACATGTGTTTACTTTGATTTGTAATGATAATGATAAGTGATTACCTGCTTATTCAAAGTAATGTGGTACTAAATTAACATATATTCCTTTTTAGTTTGTTTGAACTCAACACAAGCTCTCTGCTAATTACATGTTCCTTTCTAGTTTATTCTCGAATGAAATAATCTGTTCAAGTTCATATTATGTCAACATGCATTCCTTTCTTGGTGATATTGAAAGTTCCTTCCTTTTTCAGCTGGAATGTTTGCTCTCTGTGGCTTCTACCAGATGGCAGTGTGGGCAATGGGAAAGCACCGCAACTACAAGAAGGAATTCAAAAATTACCCTCGTAGGAAGGCTATCATTCCCTTCCTTCTGTAAAACATATCAAATGAAGTTCTTCAAGAGATCAAATTTCATTATCAAAATAGCTTGTTTATGCTTATACTTCCTGTCTTCAAATATGGTAAATGTATCATGAAAGTGACTGGATATTCTGTGGAGAGAGAAAATTACTTCATGTTAATTTTGACACAACTAATATTTAATATCAATGTAAGTCATTGAATTGCTATTTGATGTGCATTAAGATAATGGCCAATCCATTTCACACACAAATGAAGAGTGTGATTGCTTCATTCTGTTTATTTTAGAATGAATAAGATTCAAGTTCAGATGCACACATATAACAGTTTAGTTGTAAATTAGGTTATAGATGTAAATGTTTGTTTCAGATTATCTGATTTGCAGTGAGGACCCAGGTGCATAAATGTCTTTTCCCTCTCATTACCTCCAGCACATTCTCAGTGTTTTAGCACATTTCTATTAATATTTAATTAACTGTATATTATGGGTTAAAATAGAGATGAAAAGAGTTGTTCTGTACCTTCATAGATCTGAATGCAGGTTTATGATATGGTACAGCCAGTATTATAATTTTACAGCTATTCGTATATGTACAAATGTAAGGTTAACAACAGTAAAGTAAGGGATACACATGTCTCCTCTGTATTCTAGAGATGTTTTCTCAGTGTTTGCTAACCATTGCCATATAATAAAATAGATACTAAACTATAACATATTGGACTTAAGTGATCATTCACATGTCAAATGATGAACAGCTATACATGTGTGTAGAGGGAGTGCGGTGACTAAATTGATTAAGTGTAGATGGAAGTTTGTATTTGTAAAGAAATTTCATAGAGAAATAAATTTACCCATGAGAAAATGACATTTATTTGATCCAGGATACTTGTTTTATCAGAATTGCATATGGTTATACTACTTGTTGCATGTATGTGAACAGCTCCCTACAACCTAAAAAAAGAAAGAAAGAAAGAAATCCTTTCTAAACCAAACTCAGTTCAGAGAGGCTACAGGGGGCACAACCCCCCTGCAATTGCTATATCTATTTTGTCATATGCAATCACAGTGTCTCTGAGCACCTGATGCTGAGTCTGTCTTACACTGCCCTGTGTACATATGTGGTGGATTCTTTGTCGTCCAAGTTGGGAGTTTGTGGACGGCAGGACCGCATTAGGGGGGTTGCAGTTGACTATACAATTTCCCCCTCCCCATTCCCTTGCTTCTTGTTGTAGGGGCTTAGGAGATGGAGACTGAGGCCCAATGTAGGGGAACACCCTTACCTTGGACCTCAGCCTTCACCTCAATTAATTTTGCATGGTCCTTTCTTCTCCCCCTTTCGTTTTCTTTTTCTTCATCCCCATATTCTGTCCTCTTCCTGAACGTCTTCCGGGAGACCGTTTCTTTTCCCCACTTACTT